GTCACCCTGGGGGCGGAGGTGGTCAGGGACAGAGCCCTGGAGAAGTCCTGCCAAGAAGCTAGGTGGGCTGACTCAGCATGATGTCACAGGGCTGTCGTCTCGGCACGCTGGGAGGCTGAGGCGGGAGGATAGCAAGTTTGAGCTGAGCCTGAGCAGCTTTGAGAGACCCTGTCTTAAAGTTAAAAAATAGCAAGGGCTGGGATGCAGCTCATTGTGAAGGCCCTGGGGTCCAGCTCCGGACCTGGGGTGCGGTGGGATGCGGGGAGGGGAGCTAGTTTGAATGGAATTGAGATCCCACCCTTAGCTCGTGACAGGGGTTAGAGAGCAACCTCCACCCACCCCTTCATTCTGGGCCCCGGTCCTAGAGGGTCCAAGGAAGCCTTGGCCTTTGACACCCTGGCACCTCACGAGGCCATCTGATCTCAGGCCAGGGAGGGATAAAATGTCCCGGGAGAGGCCTGGAGACAAGCAGAGACTCGTGCCCCAGAAAGAGGGACAGGGTAGGTTTGGGGTGAAGATCAGAAAAGGCCCCTTAGAAGAGGGAGGGAGCCAGGAAGGAAAGATGAAAGTCCAGCCCTCAGGGAAACACAGGCAGTCCTTATAGATCCTGGGAAACTTTGATGTCCCCAGAGCGTCCCAGCCGCACCAGACGCCAGCCCCGCGTCCCTCCTCCCTTGGTCAAGGATCGGATGTCCTGGTGGCCCTTGTCCAGCCTTGGGGGGTGGGGGGCTGCTTTGATGCTGTTTGGCCCAGGCCCAGTGAAGCGGGTGGTGTTCCAAGACTCCTCAGAAACTTCCTCGGATCTGACAGTGGCTGTACGGTGGCCCTGGACAAGATCAAACCAGCCAGTCAGCTGGTGCAGGCCTGCAATCCAAGCATTTGGGAGGCTGAGGCAGGAAGACTGCCACAAGTTTGAGGCTAGTATGGGCTACCTAGTGTGTTCAAGACCAGCCTCAATTACACAGTGACATCTTGTCTCAAAAAACCAAAACTAGGACAAGGGATTTAGCTCAGTGGTTCCAGCAGCTGCCTCGCAAGTGCAAGGACCCGAGTTCGATCCCTGGCACCAGAAAAAAAAAAAAAAAACCAGAAGTAAATACATATTTAAAAAAATATAAGAGACTGGGCAAAGTGGCACATGCCTATCACCTCAGCATTCCAGGAGGCTGAGGCAGGAGGACTGCAAGTTCAAGCCCAAAGAACATGGTGTCGCTGCATGCCTGACATAGGAACACCCTTTCTGGAAGAAAAGTAATTCAGGGAGCAGGGGAAAGGGTAGGCAAGTGCTTGCAGTGAAGTCAGAGGGGTAATAAAAAGTAAAACAGGTCCGAAGATATTTTATGGGACCACATACGCACGCACAAGTGTAGACACATATGTGCTTGTGTGGAACCCCCCCCCCCGCAAATTCACAGGCTCTGGTCCCAGTGCTCAGGGCCTCAGCTGGTGACCTTATTGGAAAAAGGGTCTCTGCAGAAGGAATCAGCAAGGATGAGGTCACTGGAACTGGGCTGATTCACTGTGGCCCTCGTGCTTAGGAAAAGGGGAAATTTGGACACAGATGCTGGGCGGATGCCATCTGAACATGGAGACAGGCAAAGGTGACGCTTCTACTGCCAGGGATCTGGAGGACAGCGGCCACCTGCAGCAGGACGGGCCCTGCCCACACCTTGACCTCCGACTTCCAGCCCCAGAACTCAAGAAAACAAGTCCGTTGTTCTTCGCTGCCTGGTCTGTGGGACCTTCTTCTGGCAGCCACCCAAAAAGCCAATACTCCGATGTGTACATGTGAGGGAAAAGTTGTTTCCTTCCCTTTTTGTAGTGCTGGGGAGGGAATTGGGTCCGTGCATACCCCAGCCCGCTGAGCCACATTCCTGTCCAGGAAAACTTTCTTCCTTCCTTTTTATTGGCGGGGGGGGGGGATACCAGGGATTGAACTTGGAACCTTGTACTTGCAAGGCAGGTGGCGGAACCACTGAGCTAAATCCCTGGCCCTGGTGTTGGTTTTTTTGAAGCAGGCTTCTGCTATGCAGTTCAGGCTGGCCTTGAACTCACTGTGTAGCCCAGGCTGGCCTCAAACTCAAGGCGATCCTCCTGCCTCGGCCTCCTGAGTGCTGGGATGACAGGCTTGTACCACCATGTCCGGCTGGGAGACTTTTTCCTGCCTTTGTCAGAAATAAACTAATAATATTAAGATGGGGGTGTTGTGATCTTAGCTGGACCCATTTAATTTTGTACAAGTGAAATGGATTTGTGAATTATTTCCATAATAAAAGTTAATTTTTTTAAAGACAAGGAATCATAAGCAAACTTCACTAATGGTTGTACATATTGCTAGGCTAGGGCTGTAATTTATCTTTTCTTGCTAGAGTCTAAACTCAAAGCCTTCTCACTGAGCTCCATTCCCAGCCCTTTTTATTTTTTGAGTCAGAGTCTTGATAAGTTACTAAGTTGTCTGGGCTGGGTTAGACTTTGAAATCTCCCTGCCTCAGCCTCCCGAGTGCTGGGGTGGCAGTTGTGCACCACCCACACTGGTTAACTCTCGATGGATTCATACTGTAAACACTTCCAAATGAATCATAAAAACTAATGGGAAAAAAGCCGGGTGTGTTGGCGCATGCCTGTCATCCCAGCACTCGGGAGGCTGAGGCAGGAGGATCGCTGTGAGTTCCAGGTCAGTCTCAACTACATAGTGAGACCCTGTCTCCAAAAACAAAACAAAACAAAACAAAGGGCACTGCCACCCAGACATCTGCCCTGAGGGGGAGTTTGGACATTTTTTTTATGCCCACAAAAGTTACTCCTGGGGTTCCTGGAACAGTGTTGCCTAGGATGCTTACTGACATTTTTATCAGAGTTTACTTGGGAATTGGAAGGAACCTTTTTCTTTTTGAATGGCTATTGTTCCCTCAGGAACCTTGATTCTATAAGAAATCAATTTTTTAAAAAAAGCTAGGCAAGGGCTGGGGATTTACTCAGTGTCCCCATCGCCTGCCTCCCAAGTGCAAGGTCTCAAGTTTGATCCCTGGTACCCAAATAAATAAATACATACATACATAAAGCCAGGTGTGGTGGTGTGCACCCGACATCCCAGCACTCAGGAGGCAGAGACAGGAGGATCCCAGTGAGTTAGAGGCCAGCCTGGACTACATAGCAAGACCCTGTCTCAAAAAAAAAAAAAAGGAAATTCGTGAATATCTATTCCAAATCTCACCTCAGCCTAGGGCAGAAAAGAACATCTCCCTTTCTGATACTCCTAGGTCATCGGCTGAGCAACCAGGTTCACCTCTTGCCCTGTTCTGGAAATGGACGGCTCTGTGTCACAGTAAGTGTGCAGAGTGTGTGATCCGAAAATGTCACCGTGCTCCATGGGGTCATCTAGGGTGTGAGATGGAACCAGTGACTGTAAATGCAGTGTACACTGAGGTCCTCTTTTTTCATTTCACTATAACTGGCAGAGCACGCTATTTTGAACCTTTTGTTTGAAACTTTGGCAGCTTTGGGAGGCTGAGGCAGGAGGATTGCAAGTTTGAGCCTAGTCCTGGCAACTTAGTGACTGAGACCCTGTCTCAAAATAAAAAGTAAACAGGGCTGGGATGTGATGAAGGCCCTGCAGTCATCCCCCAAACTACACACACACACACACACACACACACACACACACACACACAGCAAACCCAGTATGGAGGGCAGAGATAGAGCTCAGTGGTAGAGTGTGTGCTTAGTACAAAAGAGGCCCTGGAACTCTCAGCCATCCTCCTGCCTCAGCCTCCCAAGGACTAGGATGTACAGGCGTGCACCACCACATCCAGCTAAAGTTTTTTGTTTTGTTTGTTTGTTTTTTGGATATAAGATCTTGCTATATAGCCCATACTGGCCTGGAACTCTTGGTGATCCTCCTGCCTCAGCCTCTGAATGCTGGGATTAGGGGCATTCACCACCAGGTGCAGCCTAAAACTCACTTCTTTTGATGTGTGTGGTTACCCACCCCACTTCGGTGGTACCCTGTGTAGGAAGGAGGCAGTTTCTATGGCCACCCGGTCTGTCAATCAAGTAGAGGAGGTGGGCGTGGGAGGCCGGGCTTCTCCCAGTCTCCCTGTCTCCTGCTGGGACTTCTCTACCATCTGAGCAGAGAGATAGAAAGCAGGCGTGGGCGATCATAGAGCCAAATAAGCAACAGAGAAGAGTCTGGAATCTGGGCCTGTCAAGATTCCAGAACAAGCTCCTCTTGCTCAGCCGTGGGCTGCATCTTCAAAAAACAAGTTTAAACCAGATGTGGTGGCGCACACCTGTAATCCCAGCACTCAGGAGGCTGAGACAGGAGGATGGCTGCGAGTTCAAGGCCAGCCTGAAACGCATAGCCAGACTTATCTAAAAGACAAACAAACAAAAACCTAAAAATAAATAAATACTAAAAGAGAGAAAGAAAATTTCCAGACTATTTTCCGGAGCAGCTGCACCAGTTTCTTAGAAATTTAAGATTTTATCATGTGTGTATTCAGTGACCGACCCAAAAGAACACTTCTCAATCATCTTACAAGTCCAGCATAACCCTGAGGCCAAAACCTGAAAAAATGCATCACGAAAGAAAAATTAGACTGGGCTTGGTGGTACACACCTGCCATCCTAGCACTCAGGAGGCTGAGGCAGGAGGATCCCAGGTTGGAGCCCAGCCTGGGATATTTAGTGACTTAGTGAGACACAGTGAGACTGGAAAGGGCTGCATACAGCTCAGTGGGAAAACGCTGGGTTTAGTCCTATCATCTTCCTAAATGCCACCCGCCCCAGCCTGACTCACACCTGCATCTCGGCTTCGCAGCCTCCCTGGCTCTCAGACACCATGTTAAGCGAACTGTACCCATTGCATAGAAGGGAAAGCCCAGGCTCTGCGTCCAGAAGCTCCAAAGGCAGAGCTGGATGGGATGCAAAGGGTTCTATTGAAAGAATAAATGGAAATTCCTCTCTAAAACCCTGCGTTGGCAGGATGCTAACAGGTTTACCTTGCTCTTCTACCTGCTGCCGACGACTCTGGTCCTTAACTCCATCTCTAGCAACCTAACGCCGTTCCCACGGCAACTAAGGTGTGGCCCGACCCGGAGCCCCAGGTCCTCAGGTCCTGCAGGGGCGGGGAGTCTCGCCTTCAACTAGGGAGGGAGTCTGCAAGGAGCCTACTGGCCCCTTAAGAGGCTCCACCCGACGAGGCATCTGAGCGCCCGGGATTGGTCCTGAGAGCGGCCTAGTACAGCCGAACTTGACGCACCGCCGGCAGTCTTTCCTGCCTACCGCCCACGCGGCTCAGCGGCCACCTCGGCCAATCACCGCTGGGCGCGCCGACCTTTATCTGCATGGCCACGCCCCAGAGGGAGAGCTTTCCCCAATCACACCGCTCGCGGAGGCGGTCATTAGCATGCCGGGGGCGACAGGGGCGGGGCAGCCGGCAGGGGCGGGCTCGGAGAGGTTGGTTGACGCGTCGCCGCAGTGGAAAGGTCCGGGAAAGTTTCTTTGGAGGTGAAAACAGGCGCGGAACTCGCGGCCCCACGAGGGAAACAGGGGCGCGGGGGTCTCGGGACCAGCGCGCGGTCCTTCCAGGGCGAGGGGGAAGGAAGCCTGTCCTGGCTTCCCGTAGGGTGATCGCCCAACAAAGGATTCCTGGGGCGCCCGCCTTCTAGGCTTCTCCGCCCCCGGATCCGGCCCCTTAGGAGCCCCTGGCCCGGCGTTCCGGACTCCCAGTCGGGGTGAGGACTGCACCCCGCCATCGGGGGTTCGGGGTGCCCTCGTCTCAGCCCGTTTCTGTGTTTCAGGTCCGGCCCGGTGCGGCCATGTCCCACGGCCCAAAGCAGCCTGGCGCAGCCACTGTGTGAGTGCACCGCCCCTCGCCCTAGCCAGCACCCCAGGGTCTCGGCCTCCTCAGCAGTGTGGATCAAGGGGCCCCAAGATGCTTCTCTCAGACCCCCGATCTAGCTCACACCACGCCCCCTAACCTGGATCAGGGGTCCACACGGAGCTTCCCCGGGACCCCACCTCCCAGGATCTTGGCTCCCCAGCTTGGATCAGGGGGTCCCCACGGCCCGCTCCTGGACCACAGTCCGCACCTCAGGGTCTTGATCCCCCCAACCTGGGTCAGGGGGCCCCTGCTGATGCTTCTAGATCCCCGTTTCAGCCTACACCCCAAAGTCTTGGTCCCAGTCTGGATCGGGAGCCTCCAAAGTCTCCTGGACCCAGCCTGCACCCCAAGGTCTTGGCCTCCCCTACCTGGATCGGGCCCCCCTGCTTCTTTTCCCCCAAGCTCGTCCCGGGGTCCAGTCTCTCCTAGGACCCCTGACTATCGTCCCTGATGTTGCCATCTCGACCCCTGGATATCAAACCCCTCAGATCACCCTGTCCCGGGGCTCTTGCTCCTCACTGGCAAGCTCCGTGGTCTCTAAACGCTCGGGGTGGGCACAAGGGCCGGGAAGGCTCCAGGAATGGGGGTGACCCAGGTGTACCATGGCCCCAGGCCGGCGGGCAGCAAGGCTCCAGGCCCGCACGGGAGTTTTGTGGTGGCTGTCAAGCAGGAGCGCGGCGAGGCCCCGCGGGCCGGCGAAAAGGGATCCCACGAGGAGGAGGTGAGTTTCTGTCCCCAGCCTTGATGCCCTGCTCCAGACTACATTTGAAGTTCTTGTGGCCACACCCACAGCCCCAGACTTCTGGATCCAAGCAAAGACTCCACCCACCATGCGAGATGCCGCACCCCTAATAGGTCCCCTGCTGAACCAAGCATAGGACATGCCCACCTATCAGCAGTGACTCCTCCCACCGCGCAAGCTCACCTCCAGCGGTGCATCGCCCGCCCCCCACCAGTACCCACACCCGCACACCAGAGCCCACGACCACAGCCCCTACCGGCTCATCCCCGGGCTCAGCCAGCTGCTAGCATCTGGACTCTCTCATCTGACCAGGGACTCCTCTGATTTCTTGGGGCTGACCCCCGACCAGACCATACTCCAGCCCTCCTGGCTAGGACCTGCCCACACACACACACACACACACACACACACACACACACACGGCACCCCAGCCCTCCAGCGCCCCCACCCCAACGAGACATCCCTATTCTGTAGCCAGTGAAGAAACGGGGCTGGCCCAAGGGCAAGAAGCGAAAGAAGATTCTGCCGAATGGTCCCAAAGCACCAGTCACAGGCTACGTTCGCTTTCTGAATGAGAGGCGGGAGCAGATCCGCACCCGTCACCCGGACCTACCCTTCCCGGAGATCACCAAGATGCTGGGTGCGGAATGGAGCAAGCTACAGCCTGCGGACAAGCAGGTGAGGACAGCAGGGACTGAGAGACTTGAAGCTGCGAAAGCCACAGCCGCCCTACGCTGTATGTGGAGGATTCACTTTCTGTTTGGAAAATGACCACCCATGAGCTGCACCCTGGTTGGCAATAGTTAGCAGTGGGCAAGGAGAGAGCTAAAACTCCACGGCCAACAAGGACAGGTGTAAGCCAGGTATGGTGGCTCACTCTGGCATCCCACTACTCTGGGAGGCTGAGGTAGGAGGGTTACAAGGTTCAGCTCAGCCTGGGCGATGTAGTGATTTAGTAACATCTTGTCAAAGATAAATAATGAGATAGAGTCTCACCTTATAGTTCAGGCTGGCCTTGAACTCAATATGTAGACCTCAAATTCACGGTGATCCTCCTGCCTCAGCCTCCTGAGTGCTGGGATTATACTTGCGAGGCATGCAGTGGAACCACTGAGCTAAATCCCCAGCCCTAAAAATTTTTAATTTTTTTATATTTTATTTTATTTTTGTAACAAGGCCTCACTACATAGTTCAGGCTGCTGGTCTTGAACTCACTATGTAGCCCACTATGAACTCACTCACTAGCCTTGAACTCAAAGTGATCCTTCTGCTTCAGCCTCCTGACTGCTGGGATCACAGGCCTGCACCACCACACCCAGCCAAAAAAGAGAAACAAATTTAAAGGTCTGGGCTTGTGGCTTAGTGTAAAATCCCTGGGTGCAACCCTCAGCGCCATAAATGAAGTGCCAGAACATCAAGGGAATGTGAATAGACCACCACTGGTTTGTGCGGGTCTCCAGTGGGATCTCCGCAGGCAGAAATGGTGCACGAGGGCAGGCCAGGTGTCAGGAAGATCAGCAAGGCTGGGAGGTGGAGACACGGATGGGGGGGTGTCGGGAGTGGTTTGTGGGGCTCAGTGGAGGCGGGGTGGCCGCAGCTGAGGGAATAGGGAGCTAGGGAAGGTTCAGCACGGGCGGCATTGCGTGATGGAGGCGGGGCCTCCCCTCATACTGGGCCAGTCTGTCTGCTGCTCTCCACCCCCACAGCGGTACCTGGACGAGGCGGAGAGGGAGAAGCAGCAGTACATGAAGGAGCTGCGGGCCTACCAACAGTCTGAGGCCTACAAGATGTGCACTGAGAAGATCCAGGAAAAGAAGATCAAGAAAGGTGGGCGGGCCCGGGCAGGCCGGCCACACGGAGCCTAGCAGAAGTCCGGAGCGGAGCGGCGGGAGGGGCAGGGTGACTGGGGGGGCAAAGCGCAGAGGGAGGCCCTGGGGACCGGCAAGCTGACTTTGCCTCCCCTCCCGCCCCCAGAGGACTCGGGCTCGGGGCTCGTGAACACGCTTCTGAACGGACACAAGGTACAGAAAGA